ACAACATCAACAACAACAACAACATCAACAGCATTGTAACGCTAGTCACACAACTAAGTATTGACAGAATTCAAATGCTCGAAATGCTCGCTTCCTATTGGCCAGGTGAAAATAGAAATGAATAAATTAATTAATTATGTTAATGACTCGATATGTTTGCCCTCATCATCATTCCCGTCATCATCATAATAATCATAACTAGGGCCCATCAGTTTAGCTCTATATCTGTCAGATGCCGAAGCTCAAGAATTCTTAAGGTTCCAGCAGGGTTCCGTTATTTTGAGTGAGAGGTACAATATAGGGTACCATGTTGTATTCAAAGATGGAGTAAGTGGGTTGTTTGTCAACCAATCAATCAAATAATCAATCAAATAAATAATTAATCAATCAATCAATCAATCAATCAATTAATCAACCAATCAATCAATTAATCAATCGATCGATCGATCTATTTATTTATTTACCTATCTATCTATCTATCTATATATTTACCTATCTATCAATCAATGTATCAATCAATCAATCATTCACTCAAGCAATTATTCCTTTTCTTATTCATCCATCAATCCGTGAGGGCAAATAAAATTCAAAATTCCTATCCAACTAGCACCACTATCCAGTCAACCACCTAAGGAATGTGGCCCTCAACAGCACCCTCACGACCTACGCCTTCCTAACCGACATCGACTTCCTTCCCATGCCCGGTCTCTATGACGTCATCGTCCGCCATCTTGTTTCTACCACATCCGGTTTCGGCGGTGCTGATAGTCATGTCGGCGGTAGTGTTGGTTCTGAGAAGAAGGTTTGTCGCTTGTGTGTCGCTTGGACGTGATTTTTCGTTTTGTATCTTCATCGTTATCATCATCATCATCGTTATCATCATCATCATCATCATCATTGTCTTCTTAATCATCATCATCATCATCTTGAAGACATAATCATCATCATCATCATTTTGAAGACATCATCGTCATCGTCATCATCATGACGTAATCATCACATCAAGGCCCTGGTAATACCGGCCTTTGAAACTGAACGGTACAAGCAGGAATACCCGACGGACAAGCAGCAGCTTCTTCAGCTGCTAATTGACAAGCAGCTCTTTACTTTCAGGTTTGAGGGCTTCCAATAATTTCGTTTTCCAGTAGTTTCGGTTTCGGGTTTGGTTTTTAAATGAAATTAATTAGGCTCGTGTATTCATTTGAATGTGAATAATTGAACTGCGTTGTAATTTTATTCATTTGTTCATTCACTCATTGGTTGGTTTATTTATTCATTAGTTATTTATTCATTAATTTCTATTCATTCATTCATTCGTTCATTCATTCATTCATTCATTCATTCATTCATTCATTCATTCATTCATTCATTCATTCATTCATTTATTCATTCACTCATTCATTCATTCGTCTTTAGATACCACGTGTGGCCTCAAGGACAGGCAGCCACGGATTATGAACGATGGAAAACAAGTGAAGCGCTATACAAGGTGGTGAATTAATGCATGTAGAAATGAATGAATGAATATGAATGAATAGATGGATGAATGAATGAACGACTGAGAGAATAATAAATCATTTTTCATCCACGAAAAGGTAAGCTGGGAACCGAACTTCGAACCTTTCATTGTTATCGACAGGTGAGGTTCATTCATTCATTTCTTCACTCACTCATTCATTTATTCATTCATTCTTTTTTCTTTCATTCGTTCATTTATTCATTCATTCATTCATTCATTCAGATCAGCCCCAAGATACGACGAAAGATTTGTAGGGTTCGGTTGGAATAAGGTCTCTCACATTATGGAAGTTGATGCTCAAAAGTTTGTAACCTTCATTCATTCATTCATTTTTTTGTTCATTCATTCATTCGTTCGTTCATTCATTCATTCGTTCGTTCGTTCATTCATTCATTCATTCAAACAGTTATGAATTCTGGGTGGTTCCCGATGCATTTATACTGCACCTGCCTCATTCGCCTAGTTTGGACATCGCTAAGTACCGGTCCAGTGAATCCTACAGGTCAGTGAATTGAATAAATGAATGATTGAATGAATGAGTGAATCGATGAATTACCTAATTTGTGAGTGAATGAATTAGTCAATAGACTGATTTATAGACTGATGGATGGACTAATGGATAGAGTAATAAAAGGATAAAATGATTAGAAGATGTATCGTCGTTGTTTTATTTGACTGGAATCATTATCATTATCATCACCGTCATCTCTGTCGTCATCATCATCATCAACACCATCGCTATCATCATCATCATCATCATCATTATCATCATCATCATCATCATTGAAACTCACCCACATGCACACATAACAGGTATTGTTTGAGGCTCTTGAAGGATGAATTCTTGAAAGATTTATCTCTTCGGTACGGCATCAAAGCTCTCAAATATTTGTCGCCAGATGGATGATTGAATGTTTGTAAGTCTGTTTGTATGTTTGCTAGTTTGTGTGTATGTATGTATGTGTGTGTGAGTGAGTGTGTGTGTATGTACGTATGTACGTATTTATGTATGTATGTAAATCATGTTTATCATGTTCCTATCATTTTAAAATGATGATCTTATATTAAAGCGTCGATATGTATTTAATTCTTTTAAATTATGATTTAAATTGATAATTACGATAATAATAATAATAATAATTATTATTATTAATTATTGTTATTATTATTATTGTTAATATTATTATTGTTATAACTGTTTTTTGGTTATTGATTTTTTTGGCCAATATTTCACACGCGATATATTTTGAAGTCTGTGTCGTCTGTTACTAATATAAATAATTAATAATAATTATAGTTGTAATATAATTATATTATAATAACAATTACGATAAGAATTTGTGTTCTTATTATCGTTCATCATTCATTCGTTCGTTCGTTCGTTCGTTCATTCATTCATTCATTCATGCATTCATTTTCTTACTTTTTCTTGAATGTTTTTGTTGTTGTTTGATTTATTATATTTTCAAGTATATATATATATATATATATATATATATATATATATATATATATATATATATATGCAATGATTTTATTTTAGGTCGTCATTCTTTTATTTTTCTCTCTCTCTCTCTCTCTCTCTCTCTCTCTCTCTCTCTCTCTCTCTCT